GATGCGGGGATGGGACAGCCAGAGCCCCGGGGGATGCGGGGATGGGGCTGCCGCAGGGACATGGGGAGGGGGATCCTGGAGCCCAAGGGATGTGGGGGTGCGATGATTTGCTGGAATTTTGGGGGGATGGGGACGTGGCGCTGCCAGAGCCCAGGGGCCCACGAGGCGTGGGGACACGGGGTGACAGACACAGAGGTGGCAGAGCCCCGGGGATGCGGGGACACGGGGACCAGAAGCTCCGGGTGTATGGGGACAGGATTGCCGGAGCCTGGGGGTCGCGGGGAGATGGGGACGGGGACCACCACCCCCTGTAGCCCTCGGGCGAGGACAAGGCGTGTGCCAGGGCTGCGAGGCCACCACGCTGCCCCGCCGGGCCGTGTCCCCGTCCCCCGCGGGGCCGGGTGACGCCAGCCCGACCCCCGGCCGCTGTCTGACGCGGCGCTGCCGGGCTCCGGCGGTGCTCCGGTGCCGGGCGTGCCTCGCCGTTCCCCGGCCTCATCGACCCCCGCCCGGGCAGCCCCGGGGAGCCAGGGCAGAGCCGAGCGCAGCTACTTCCCCGCCGGGCTCAAGGCGCACAAGCGGAAAGGTAACGGGATGGGGATGGGGGGGACAGAGGGACAGCGAGGGGACAGGGTGATGGAGGGATGGGGATGGAGGGGGGCAGGAGGATGGGGACAGCAGGGCAGGGATGGCAGGAGGATGGGGACAGCAGAAGGATGGGGATGGGGGGGACAGAGGGATGGATGGGGATGGAGGGACAGGGATGGATGGGGATGGGGAGGACAGAGGGATGGCAGGAGAACAGACATGGCGGGGAGGGGTGGCAGGAGGATGGGGACGGCGAGGGGACGAGGTGGTGGAGGGATGAGGGTGGCAGGGAGCAGGAGGATGGGGACAGCAGGACAGGGATGGCAGGAGGATGGGGATGGGGGGGACAGAGGGATGGCAGGAGGACAGACACGGCGGGAAGGGGGGCAGGAGGATGGGGACGGCGAGGGGACGAGGTGGTGGAGGGATGGTGGAGGGCAGGAAGATGGGACACAAGGACAGCGAGGGGACGTGGCTGCTCACTCGCCCGCTGCCGGGTGGGCACCGGGGCTCGGGGCCGTGTCCCAGCGGGGTCACCTCACGCTGCGGGTCCCCGGGGCCACCGTGCTGCTGGTCGCCGCAGGCGGGCAGAAGGTGTCGTTCGCTGGCGGCATCGACGAGCGCGAGGAGGACCTGAAGTCGCTGACGGTGTCCGAGATCCCCGAAGACCCCGAGGGAGCGGAGGGTGACGAGGAGGAGCCGGGCCAGGAGCAGGACGGTGGCACCGGGGGTACGTGCGGTGGGCTGCCACCTCCCCTTCCCCATCCCCGCCGTGCCCGGTGCTGACCACCCCGTTTCTCTCCGCAGAGCGGCGACANGGCGGCATCGACGAGCGCGAGGAGGACCTGAAGTCGCTGACGGTGTCCGAGATCCCCGAAGACCCCGAGGGAGCGGAGGGTGACGAGGAGGAGCCGGGCCAGGAGCAGGACGGTGGCACCGGGGGTACGTGCGGTGGGCTGCCACCTCCCCTTCCCCATCCCCGCCGTGCCCGGTGCTGACCACCCCGTTTCTCTCCGCAGAGCGGCGACACGTCGGCTTCTCCGAGGTGCCCTCGCGCCCCATCGGCACCGAGCGCCACTCGCCCACCTTCCCGCTGGGCACCAGTTAGCTGGCACCGGGCACCGGCCCCCATCCCGGCCCACCCCGCAGCTTCGCCTGTGCCCCCCGCCCGCTGCCTGCGCTTCGTCCGCCGTGCGCCATGTGCCGTGCGCCATGTGCCGTGTGCCGTGCCATGCTGGGCCGCGCCGGGCCGCGCCGGGACCCCCGGCCACGGCCGCCCCCTCCCCGCGGCCATCGTGCCCCCCACCCCAGCTGCTGGCGAAGGCACCCACGGGTGCTGGAGGGGTCTGGGCCCCCCCCGGCCCCAAGCGAGCAGAGCCCCCCGCCCGCAATAAACGCTGTACAGAGGCTGGAGCGTCTTTGGGGGGCTGCGGCCCCATTGGGGGGTGGTCTGTTCTTGTTGGGGGGTGGGGGGGGCCTGGATATGGGGGACAGAGCCATGGGGCGCCCCACGAACACCCCCCCATGGTCTGTACCCCGCCCCACTGACTCCCCCCCGTGTGGGGAATGGTGTCTCCCAGCCCCACGGTCACCCCTCGACTGGAGAATGGTCTCTCCCAGACCCACTGGAACACCCCCAAGGAGGGGGAATGGTCTCTCCCTTGCTCACCCCATAGACCCCCCCCCCCCACCTCCCCTCTCCACAGGGGGAATGGTCTTGCCCTCACCCCACTGATTCCCCCTTTTGGAATGGTCCTTCCCAGCTTTATTGAGCCCCCGCATGAGAAATGGTGTCTCCCACTGACCCCCTCTCCCGCTGTGGTCTGTCCCAGCCCCACTGACCCCCTCCTCACGCTATGAATGGTCTGTCCCAGCCCCACTGA